TATTATTTAACTGTCTTCCTACCAAATCGATGTAACAAACTCAAATCTCAATTGGCTTATAAAGCATGCGTCTATTTTCTAAAAGGTCGATATTAAATTATATAAAAACAGGTATTACGTGAATCAGAAGAAATTTTTTCCCCAGGGATATGTGTGCTTTCGTGCGTCTCTGTAAACTATAGTAAGAGTGTTAGAATTCAAATGGGATGTACTTCCTCATCCACTATATTAACATACTTTCATATTTCCATCTATTCTATTATTACAAACTTGTTTCAAGGAGTTATATGAAATAATCTTCAAGTGTCTTCCTACATTACGTTCGGGCTATCTTGCTATGTTACCCATTAATCCATGATCTTGTGTTTGTACCATTAACTTTTAAATATCATCGTCTTTGTCATACTTAGATATATTTTCATAAAAATTCAGCATAATTTGTTACACTATTCCTTGAATTGACTGCAAATATGCGTTTCTTCCTTAACTATAAAGCGTGGGTGTATTTATTTTTTATATGATCACCAAGGATATAGTTAATTTTTTTATTAAGTAAGAAATATATTAAGATCCAATTTATAGCTTTGATAAGAACAAAGAAACCAGACAGATAAAGAATTTTCAACCATTAGCCCGTGTTCAAAACTCAGTAGTGAAAACGGAGAGCTGACATTTTTCCTTTTTTTTCCCCTTATCTTCCTGACAGTGATTTGTACTTTCTTTCGTATTAAAGAGAAATGGACTCCCTATTAATTGGATTCTTTTGTGAAAGCTTTGAGATGTAATGTGGATTGACATTGTCCCGTGTCTTCGTTTTGTTGGTACCCTCTTCTGTTCGGAACTTTTCTCCTTTTATCAGCACAACTATTGAGAATAGAACTCAATGACCCCGACATGTTGTCAAGTGACAAAACGACTCCAGCAGACGAATGTCAAGTTTTTCGAGATTTTTTGTTTTTCTGCTCAAACATCTTTTTTTATTTGGAGTAGAAAAGATCATAACAGAATCAATTTAGCCAATATTAATTTTATCCTCGATATTGCTTGCTGGAATAAAGGTATGGTTTTGTTCTTCGGATAAAAGGAATTGCCCTGTCTGTTTTCCTATATGGTGGTAGATTGGATAAATTGAAAACAAATAAAAATGTTTTTACAATAACACCGCCAGTTATATATTTCGTAACAGTCACTGAATAACTGAGCCAATTTTGGGGTTTACGACTGCCAGTGTTTAACTCCATAGTCTGGTAATTTTAAAACCAATCCAGAAGACAAGGGAACTGTATCAAATGTTGGGAGAAATTTACCTACCTTCGTGGTAGACTTTTTTGATGGAACTTACCTACATTTCTATCACATATAGAGGAAAATCATGAAAACCTCCTAGGGTTAGTCTGATGACAAGGGGAATCTAACCCATGATTGGTCTGCCACTGAGGATATTTCACGTCAGCTTTGTGGTTGGTTCGACCCGGGTGTGGAATTCGTATCGACAAACCATCACTTGGATTTGAACCCATCTAAAGTGGCTCCAAACAGTTAAATAAAAAAATAGTTTAAGTAAAATTTGAAACCATATTCAAAGCATATTTTTAACTAACACTTCAGCACTTCCTCATTGTTAGTCGCATTCTATTTAATAGTTTAAGATTTTTCCTAAAACCAAAAATATAATAATTACATTTTTAAAGCAAAATTGATTGGTGTCGTGATTATAATAACGTAAGAACTGAAATCTGCTTTTACTGCTTCAGATTAAATAGATTTTACTTAATTTAGGTATTCAGAACAAGTGGAGCTATGACCTAGATCTGTTATGAAACAGAAGAAAATGTTCCTTAGACCGGAAATTACCTAACTTGGAGCAAATAACATAACACTGTTGATTTTCCTGTCAGAAAATAAGCGTTATTGTCTTTTATTTAATAAAAAACAGTGATCAGCAAGAAAATGTTTAAGTGTAGAAACAAAAAAGTGTTAAGTCAAAAAATAGACGAAATCATGTTTTTTAAACATAGTTTCTACCAATGTTGTGAGAAACTGTTTTAAACTAATGAGTCTATTAGAAGAGATGACTCCGCGTTTTTGGAAGCATGGTAATTCTTATTAAAACTCAAATAGGAAACAATTTGAAAATTTCATCATGGTTTGGAGACAAAACTCTCTACCACACACGGGTTCCTTGAATTGAATTAAAAAAAGCATGGAGAGATTCCAACGCAAATTCTGTATGAATTCAATTATTCCGATCATAGCTTCGTTTCCTATCTAAATAATGATCCTAACAGCTGATTCAGATAGAATTCTTCCACCGTCATAGGATCTTTTTTGATTGACCCAGACATGTTGTTAAAAGGTTATGAGCTGACGCGGAATTTCATCTTTTAGGAAGAAATTTCCATACGCTAATTCAAAGTCCCTTCCACTTAAATAAAATTAAATCTTGTTTAAGTTCATTTACTATATCTTTATGCCTATGCCAGATATTTATATGGCTTCTGATTCCAATAAGGAATTGTAGTAATATGGAATGGTCGAAATATTCCTTAATCCTGGCAATTTTGCATAATTTCAACAAACTTCAACTTGCTGTTAATTTTTGCTGATATTTATTGATGTAATAATTTTTCTGATTCCTTTTTTTATTCTTGTTGCTTTATTTATATAACAAATACCTGAAAATACGTATCGTATAAAAATTTCGTGAGTTAGAGTTAAAAAACAAACTTGACGCTTTTTAATTCGAAGATGTAACAACACCTGAATGGCTCAATTTTAAAAAGGGTTAAAAGCGCATTTGGAATTTTTGTTCTCCATTTTTCATTAATAAATGTAATTAACTTATGCATAAACTTAATAAATGTTTATGTGCAAGTCCGCTTTTGTGCAAACTATTGCATGAGAAAGAAATAAAAAATTGTAAGTAATACAATTAAAAGTAATAAAAAATTATTCTTTAGTTTAACACATAAATGCCACACATGAAAGACTATCATTGGTTAGTTTTGATAATTTCCGTGTTTTGTTAACCGAAAATCACTCTTTCAGTATAAAGCTTCATGATTGGCTCATTTCTGCAAAATTTATATTTAGAATCTTTATGGTTCAATGTATTTTCTTTGATTAGTAAATTACAAAAGAAACACACTGTTAGTAGATTATTTTTGGTATAATGAAATAATCGTATTGCAGATTGTAATCATCTGGAATCAACTGTGAAAATGTTGCAAAATCATAATTAAAAACCTGTCATAATAAATCTTAAACTTATTTTCGGTCAGATTGCAATTTTAAGATTAAACTTGGAACGAAAAAGAAATTGGCCTAGAAATGTTTTCTACTGACATCATTGTGAAACAAAACCAGACTCATCGTTTATATCAGTAACTTAATATTGGCAACTTTATGCGTTTCATAATAATGACATAATTGGCATGCCAGGCTATACAGAAAGAATTAACGAAATTTAGAGTCTGAGAAAGAAACCAGTGAAATCAAGACTAAGAAGAAGATCCGATTGTTTTAAGAACAAATCTAAACATAATGAAAATTTCCAAAGGAAAATTCAATATTAAGAGCAAACAAGTTAATCATGCTAATAAGGTGAGTTGAATTGCTAAGAATTTGTTAAAAAATAATATCAAATATAAGAAAACAGTTTTTAAACAACAATTGTATTTCTTTTACTGTTTAACATAGAATATTACAGTTCAATCCTTTCTATACACAAAACATGAAGATTAGAAACAAATATCAGCTCAATCTTCTCTGAATTGTTTTTAGGTCAAATTATTCAACTCAGCACAGTTCGACTGATTTATTATTTAAAAATACTTTCAGAACTTTATTCTCACATCTTCCATTGCTTCAAAATTCATATATTCCTTCCTTCGTAAGGAGTTTTACGTCTTTCATATCTACCACTTGTTCGAAAACTGTCAGAGAATTTTACAATTTTCTATGATAGCATATGTTTTATGCATGAACGTATTGGAATCATATTTTACTTTACAAAGATGTCCTCTTAAAACCATACAAGTGTTAAATTATTCAAAACTGAAAACCAAAAAGGTTTAACATTCTTCCCGTTTCAGTGTAAGTTTAAAATATGTTTCTGAATTACGCAAAAGAAAAAATGTAGCATCGCCACTTTTCATGAAGAGTTTTAAAATTTACATTCGTGAAAAAGAATTCGCGCGAAATGTTTTAATTTCTAAAAAATGCATGTTAAATTATTAAAAAAAACATACAGAGAGAATAACTTGATGCAAAAGTTTTCAAGCTAAGACGATTTCCCTCAGAAAAATTTTTGCATTTCCGATACGTGGCAGAAGACCATATTGAGTGGTTAAAAATGATCATTTATAAAGCATTTCAATATATTTATATTATAACATGAGTTATCGTTCATATGTAAATTAAAAAGTTCTAATTCATTCAGCTTGAAGAAAAATTCTAGGAATTTGAAGCAGGTTTTCTAATTTTCAACTTAAAAATTATGCTACTGTCTGTAATTTAAGAAAAACTGATTTCATATTACCAATCATTTATTAGATGTTGTCACAATGTTGTGTGACGATTTTTTTTATGTCAATAATTTAAATTTAATTTAATCTTTCATAGTTGATAGTATTTGTACTTTTCCTTTTTTTTCTCTTTTCATTTTTTACCCCCTTTTTTTCTGTGAAGAGAATTGGAAATGTTTCTTTTACTTTTACGTTAATAACACATTTTTTGTGTCATCTTTTTTCACCTTTTACAATTCAAGGTCGCCTGACCCCACTGTCCTTCTCAAGGACGACATTCTTTTCCCTCACTTTCTAAATTTATGTCACCACTTAACTTCTTTTCCCATCACTTTCACGTAACCTTCAATTTTGCAGGTGGTGATTCTTCCAGCCGGATTTTCTAGATTTTTCTAGTATTTTTGGGGTGTTCACGCCTTTTTTGGGGACTTCTTCCCTTTGGCACCTTATTTGGTATGTGTGGGAGTACTAATTTGCACTGATAGGTGTTGACTTAATCGTGTGGTAATTCCCCCATCCAATCACAGTCGTCCTCTCCTCCTCCTACAAACTTGTATTTTCCCGCGCTTAAGCGGACGCCATGATTATCGTTTTTGGTACCGCCAAGTACACTTCTCCTCTGGTGTTGCTTTTGCTTTGGTCTCGGCTGGTGAGCTGGCCTAGGTCGGCGAGCTATGCCGAACCCCCCTGTAATGTTAATCTTTTTTGGCAAGTGCCGCCATTTTTTTGTGATTCCTTGGCTATAATTTTTTCTTTTTTTGCGATGCCTGAAATATTTGTGTGTGACAGACCACCCATCCCATTCCAAAGCTAGTTCTGTTGTAAAATAATGAACAATTAAAGAACAATTTGTGAACGATGCTTCTGTACCTTGTATTTTCTTTTGGTATCCATCACTTCAAAATGTCCGATGGTGGACCTATCTCCATGATGTAAATAATATGTGGTGAGTAACATTCTCATGTTTCCTTTTTCTGACCAGCGTTTATTTGCGCAAACGTAAAATTTCATTGATGTTATTCAGTCGTCCTTTAACTTTATCTTGACCACGAGCCCTTGCTGTTGGGTTAATTCGCGTGGCACTTTAGCAATGTTTCCCTCCACTATTTTCGATCACTTTTGGCCTTTCTTCACATCAATTAATGATGATCCAAAATTACTATCAAAATTCATTATTTAATTAGTCTCTTTTATTTTCTTTGTTTGTTTTATACTTTATCGACTGAATACCTCTATCAAATTTTATATACCCATTTCTCTGTATATAATATATTTTAATTGTAACAACCCCCCTTTTCTTAATATATTTAATATCGGTACCTCCTAACTTATAATCAATTCAACATTGGTACATATGAGACCTTTTTTTTTTTGTTAATTAAATTTAACTTTGGTACAGAAGTGTTCAATATTTTTAGGTGCAAGTGCAAATCAAATGATCATCTGCTATTAATTTAATTAGTTTTTAATATCTTACACAACTGCAAACAAAATCAAGAAAAAACATGCTTTCACAGTTTATTTCACGTAGATTTGATAGGGTGAAAAATTCTCTGACCATTCAAAGTTTTGGAGTAAAATAATGTTTTTTCCCTTGACTTTTTTTAAAAGTGGGTTTATTATTGGGTGGTGGTGGTGGGGTTTATTATTTTAGATCTCCTGCAAATTCTTGCTAATCTTTAAGTAATGATATATAAATATTTAAATAGCTTGAAATATCACAATTTTAACAGAATTAGTTTTAAGAGAATAATTCCTTTTTGAAATACAGCACAAGTAAATAATCCATTACTAACCCTCCAATGCATAAGTGTTTCATTTAGATATATTTAGATATTGAGATATATTAAAATATTTAGATCTGCAACAAATCCATTTAGTATCTCAAGATTGTGGTGTAATAATTTATTTTCAGAAATTCTTGTCCTGTATAGACGAAAATCGGTGTCCTCCTGTTCAAACCACGACCTGTGCTTTTGTGGTATATTTTATCAAACTAATTTTAATCAAAATAATCTTTAAACTTCATTCATAGTGCGTAAGAAGATATAAAACAATGCAAATAGTTCTAGTTAAAAACTATCATGCATTATAAATGAACAAAATCTTAAATTATCATTTCTTAATTAAAGTCTACATCGGTTTCCTAATGTGACACATTTTTCTAACACTCTTGAATGGCTTGCCATCTGAGGGAGTTTCCAAGAGCAGTTTGAAGTCTCCAAATGAGGACTACATGCAAATTACAATATAAATGCGAATATATATATATATATATATACATATAATTCCTTAACCCTCTGATATATATCCCCATATGCATCAGAGGGTCAATATTGTTTAAATACAAGTATCGATTTTTGACACATCCGCCATTTCTAAATTCTCCAATTCAATTCAAAACTTTCCAGAAAATTCGGTTTAACGTTAAACCATGGTACACAGTACATATACTTTATTAAAAAATGTCTTTCCCCTCAAAATGCGGATTGAAGAGCACAGTCGACATGTTGCAAGCACTGAAAAATAGGCTCCAAAGAATCACCTCACGTTCCTGATTCACTTCTGGTAAGTCTTGAAAATGGGCGCCTATTTTTGAACTCTTGAAACATGTCAACTGTTATCTGTTATTTGCAATCCGTGAGCATCTGTACATTTAATAAGTAGTTTAATTGAAGGTTCACGAGAATTTTGGCCTGGAGGAATTCAGGTTAAACCGTAATTTTGTGTAATGAAATTTAAGGAATCAAGAGAGCCAATTTAATGCTGCAAAATATTTAAATGTTTCAAAAAATGATTAAGACGATATAAATTACCGTTATTCTTGTAACTGCTATAAAAGCAAAAATTTATTTGTCGCAATTGTTCATTTTTTCCACAAGTAAATTTTGGTAAAACTTTTAACAAAATGAATTTTAGTACGTTAAGAACAATTTTAATATCATAAGGCAGGAGGAAGAACTAAGGAACCCAAATGAATTATACAAAAAAGTTTGAGACATTTTCACAGCTACCTAATCATGTAAGCAATTTTATTCAAAATATGCAGAATATGATGCGTCTTTATTGAATAGAAAACTGCTTATTTTTCAAAAACTAACCAACAGCGAAACAACAATAGTTTTCAGTTATATTATATCTACCTTTTATTCTCAGGAGGCAAATCAATATCAAATAGTTTCATAAACTAATATTTAATTTATCTATCATGTAATAAAGAATAATAAAAGCAAATGTATTTGGTTTGCTGACTGACACTAAATTTAAATTGCAATATACATTTAAATACATTAGCAACCGAAATGTATCATAAGATATACTAACTTAATGAATTTAAAGTTTTAAAAAACACAATTGGTTTGTAACAACTCACCTATCCAGATTACGAATTTCAATATTTCCATACACATCTGTACAAAATATCTCTGCGCATTGTATATGCAAAGTAGTTAGTTTTAACATATTATTTAATACATCCAGTAACACACACGAAATAACTTTAGACATCATTTAATGAATACTTGAAAGCTTAATAACACCAATCCACATATCAGAATATGGAACATTCTAAAATTTTCGCATCAAAAGACTATTCTTCTCAAAAGGCCTCTAGTATTGGTATAATCATTCATTTCAAATCACATTCAAGGGATGCCATGTGCTAATTATATGCAAATAATTATCATGGAGTACAAAAGACCTTTGATAACCTTTATAATTTCTAATCTTAACTTTTTGAATAAAATTGTTACCTGAAATTGTAAAGTAAAATTTATTCATATTTTACCAAACATAGGCTTAATAATTTTAAAATTGTCTTGTTTTGAAAATAAATTGCTTGTTTCATTTGAATTTAGTTCTAATTACAATCCACATATTTAAGTATGTTTCTTTATGCAATGTTTTAAATGTTCAATTAAATTCAGTGCTAATAAAATTGAATGTTTTTTTTTTTAAATTTCGAAAATAAATTTTTAGGTGTGATCTATAAATTAAGAATAATTTTCGAAATCATTAAGTCAATTATTTCTACATCAAATTAATTTCTACCCAGGGACAAACAGTTAAGTACTCACAGCTTAGTATGTTCTCACAAAACAAATAAATAAATAAATACTTGGAAGCTATTGTTAAGAGATTGAGAGGAAGATGAATAAATCTTCCTCCCAGCTATAATTATACTTTGTGGTGCAAACCCAATGGTTACTACTGCAAAGGGATGATATAATTCGCCAAACAAATAATATTTATTAGAAAATATGAGATTGCGCAAAGCAAAAAGCGATAGTTATAAGGAGCATGTGCTTGATGATAATGAAGAGTAAAATAAAGGTAAAAATTCTTTAAATATTGAAACCTTCACAACAAATGCTCAAATAAGAGGCATGGTAGCTCACAGGATAGAGCACTCGTTTTCCTCTACGAGGTGACAAAGCGATGGCTGATTTGTAACGAATTTCGCATACGGCTCTTGCTGACACGACACAGTACTGGCATTAAATATACTCAATTGTAGACGGATCACGGGCTACAGTCCCCTTTACGTCAAGCTAACCATGGGTGGTTTTCATCTCCATGTAACGCAAATGCGTGTTAGTTCCATAAACAAAGTCCTCCATGAAAGCAAATTTCTCCCAATACTTGATCCAGAAGTTTCCTTGTCTTCTGGATCAGACTCAAAATTCCAAAGCAATGGAGCTGAGATCTAAGACATTCCTAGAATTCTGGATATCAAGGTATTTGTCATTTCGTTTGGATTATCTCCTTAATTCTTGTTTTGTGATTTGATTTCTGCCAAACCTAGTATTTGAGGCATTCCAGATATTTAAGGCTTATCCCGTAATTTAGGCATTCCTTGGATCTGAGGCATTTCTGAAATACCTGGATATCCAGGTATATAAAGTTTTTGTGGGTTATCTCCTTAAGTCTTGTTTTGTGATGAGGTTCCGGGCAAACCTTGTAATTGAGTCATTCCTGGGACGTGTTGCATTCCCAGTAATTTTGGTATTCCTGGAATTTCAGAATATCCAGGAATATTAATAACCATTTTTAAAATTTTGAAGAATTTGTTCCAATCACTTGTGGATAGAATCATTCATTTTAACGTTGAAAAATACATATTAAACAATGCATCACTTGTTTAGATGGAACTGTCAGAATCGTAATTTTTCCTTTTCTTTTCTAAATAAAACCGTCTAAGCTATTCCTCAGATTGTCTCAAGATTGGGTTCATTAAATTTTGTATGAAAAATACATAGGAAACAATGCTTCATAAAAAAGCAAATATTAAAATTAACACTAAGAGTTTTGAGTGCTTTCCTGTTATACTGTTTGAACCTCACTCTTGTAGCTACTTAAATTTGAGTCACTTTTAAAAACCATCAAAATTGAATTGATCATGTCGGTGAAATGATCATGTTAGCAAAATTATATCAGCGAAATGAGATATGCTAGTGATTGTGCTAGCGAAATGATCAAGTCAGCGAAATGATCGTGTTGGGAAAATGAATTGTCGGTGAAGTGATCATGCTGACGAAATGAGCTGTAGGTGAAGTGGTCGTGTTGGCAAAATGAGCTGTCGCTGAAGTGATTATGTAGGCAAAATGAGCTGTCTGTGAAGTGATCGTGTTGGCAAAATGAGTTGTCGGTGAAGTGATCGTGCTGGTGAAATAAGCTGTAGGTGAAGTGATCGTGTTGGCAAAATGAGCTGTCGGTGAAATTATCGTGTTGGCGAAATGAGCTGACGGGGAAGTAATCGTGTTGGCGAAATGAGCTGACGGGGAAGTAATCGTGTCAAAAAAATATTTATTATACATGTAAACTCTTGCTATTTCTGAATTATTAGTTAGTATAATTCAGAAATAGCAAGTATAAGCATAATATACTGCTAAAATGTTAATATATTGTATTCTTTAAAAAATTGAATGAAATATTTATTTTAATAAG